TTGTCGCTCGCGAACCCAGCAAGGGATATCAGTAAATGAGGACTGGTTTCATCGACCCCTTCGTTTGGTCGGTAAGGGCTAATAATCTGAGCCCCCTAAACAGGGCAGGGGAGCATGGAACGCCTCGTCCCCTTAAAATTGATGGCCTAGCGGTAAAATTTCAGGGAAGGGTAAATGTTTCCATGCCTTTATCCTAACAATAGTCTTAACACAAAAGTAAACCGTAACCTTCGGCCATGTTGCGACGCCCGACTGGACTGCTCGTAATAGTTGCCCGCAATGCAATGTGCACGCATCCGCCGGTCCAATCATTACACCGCTTACTCCCCGATTGACTGCAAACGTCCGCCACTGCTGACCTTCTGCGTCAGCACTTAGTTCACGCACACACACGCATACTTCATGACTTCAAGGTCACTCACTCAAATTAGTTGACCTAGCCCTCACAACTAGTGCAGTGTTTATAGAATGCACTTACTATACAGAAGGCGGGAAGACCAGTATTTTATTTGCCCGACGTTTCGAATTCTCACACCAGCTCATTGTCAAGGGATAAAAAGTACAGCTCAACGTGTACTTAGCTTAAATACGCCGGGAACAACCTTCAGCTTTGTTATCGACTTTTTCTCGCAACACGAGATAGGCATCAGGAAGATCGATATGCCTGTTAATTGAATTCGCGTGCGAGTGCCACGCCTCCTGCAGCAGGCGTGAGATTCGGTCGTCCGACTGACCCAGTATTCGCACGTGTTCGAAATCGAAGCTTCCAATCTCATTGCCCATTGCAGTAAAAATCCAAAACAGAGAGTGGCAAATTAAAAAAATCTGCTTTAGCAACCGCGTGCTCTTCTTAATCATGACTGCCTTCGTCTCTGCATGTCAGGGGGCCGGAACGCCGGGAGAGACCAGGTCCGCCGGTTGACCGGACTGGACAATACTTGGCAATTTCACAAGCGGTGGAGAATGTAACGTCATTTAATGAAGGCTGACTGAGAAGTAAACGGACTAGTGTCTGGTGAATAACTAGTCACGGACTGTGCTAGGCAAAGATCTGGCAAATAAGATCTCTGCGAGCGGGTCGCGCGCGAATCAGGATGGTAAACTCTGATTGGTTCTAAAAACGGCCAATGGGGCTGAGAGAAGAGGTGAGATGTCAGCATTTTGACTCCGAAGGTGAAATGACAGGCGTTTGAATCCCAGAATGGACCAGTACATGCATCATCCTCATCGGCAACGCTCTGCGAGGTCAATTAACTTCTCTTGGAGAAAATTCGTGGCTGTCGGATGCATCAATCAAAAGAGGACAATGGACGCTATAGTAGCGAAGACTGAAAGAAACCGCCGCAAATAATGGGGCTGAAGACCACTCGCAATTTACCCGGTTAGGAAAGCAGGAGCAGCAAGCTCTAACACGCCACTGCGGTCTGTGGACATTTAAAACCTGCACTCGACTCGCTAGTCGCCCCCTATTAACCTAGCAACCAAAAGAAACAAATACACCGGACCAGCATAAGACGCCGGGCGGATAAAGGTGGTGGCAGTCACCCTGCTCATGACTAGCAAACTGCCAAAGTTGTAAATGTTCAAAACGACCGGCGCCGAGGTGAAAGTGTCCTCAGCTGCCCCAAGAAAAACGCGTGCGAGTAAAGTGGGAGCAGGGAGGTCAAAAGCA